CTGTGGAACTTGTTGTTGGATGGAAAATGGCCGGATCTTGAGCTGTTATATATCTCCAAGATTATTGAACCGAAAGCATGTGCAACATAAGCTAAGGATGCATTCCTGACAACAACCCTTGATTTAGATGCTTGATAACATGGTCCTTCGGAAAGGGCATGGGACGCAGGGGTGTTCGAATGGAGCCACCTGAGCAGACTGTAGGTTTTGCAGAGTCTGAAGTCAAAGGACAAGAAAGGCCTTACTCCCCTGAAGTTCGGCGCTGAAAGAACCGATCAGTTCAACCACATTTAGAGCTGGAGCAAAGCTGAGCAGAGCAACTGGAGCGGGACGCATCAACTACTGAGGTTGCGACAGCAGGCCGCAAAGTTTGCTCAGGAGACGGTCAAGGAGCAGAGGTGCAATGTGTGGCTCCTTTTTGAAGTTCTAAACGAAGTGCAGAAATAGGACTGCCTGTCAGGGCCTCCTTCCAGCGGTACGGCGTCTGGGGTGACTTTGAATCACCTTACTTGACTCTGCTTCCAAAGTATGAAGCAGCGCAGCCACAACCTTAACGTCAAAACCTGTGTGTGTGAGCAGCAGCGATGGAACTTCCGTTGTTGGTCGTAGTCATAGTCACTCATACGAACTACACCAACACTCTGTGCACTTCAACACTGTATGGATGTGTTTATAAGCAATTCATGCTGAACCGAGGCTTCGCATTTTTGAGGACTCAACCTGATTGCAAAATGCGAGTTTTAGCCAGGTGCGTTGCATGGTCAGATTGACTCAAATGCTGGCAGGAAATGGTGCGTGGTGGTCATATTTATCGTGGAAGGCTTGGTTTTGTCAGTTCTGTCAGCTGCTTGTTTTCGCTGGTTTGAGTGTCAACCTCCATAGGAAGCCGGTGTATTGGTGTCCTGAGTGTCAACCTCCATGTTCGCCTTTTCTGCTGTGGCGAACATAGGAAGCAAGCGTGTCTGTGGTGGTTTCACTCTGGTTTTCTGCTTGTTTTCGCTTGTTTCGAGCTTTGCTGTTGCGCCAGGAAGCCGGTGTATTGGTCGCCTTCCACCCGAACGGCACTTGCAGAAGCCGAGCTCGAGTATCCAGAGGATATGTCATTTTGGATGTCTATTTACAATTTACAGGTAGACCGTGTGACAATGTCTGCCAAACAAGCTGCGTACAGGACCATGTCTCTCCATCCATCTACGCTGCCTTCAAGTGCACTCAGTATGGGACTTAAAGAGCACCTTTGTGTTTTTTTTCTTTTCACAAAGTCTCATTTGTGCAGGCTTCCGGATGGCTTTTCTGGATTCGAGAACCTTGAGGCATCCATGTTACAATCTTGAGGTGTCTGCGTTTCAATTACCACCCTGACCCCTGACCACAAATCAGGTAGCTGAGTCGCCAAGTTAACTTCTACTGGTACTTTGACCTATATATATACACTTGTATTTTGCATCCCTTGATATCCAGCAAAGCCCTGTCAAGCTCTTTGATCTCAATACCAAGATGTAAACACGATTGTTTGTCACTAGCTTTGTTGCCATGAACATACAAGCAAGTGCCACAGCAATACCACTTCGAACTTGCAAGGGCCACGCCTGTGGACATGCCAGTTGAGCTGTCAAACCGTACGTAAACAGAAGACAGGTGACAGAAGTCGATTCCAGTCCAAAGTTTCCTTACGTTTGAGTCAACGAAGGCCGTAACCTTCACACACAAACACTTAAGTGACGAACCATAGATGCAAAGCAAATGCGAAGAACTGTCACAGTCACCAAAATATGCACATTGTTCAAGAATGAAACCACTTCGAAGTATCAAAGATGCATTGGTCACGCCTTTGGAGTGTACTAGTAGAGCCGAACTCATCAGGCAGCTTCGCAAGCCAATTCGCATCATTTCTGTTGCAAGTCTCTCATTAACTTGTGGTCGGCCTTCGATTGTGTTTTTCGTTTGCGTTGCCAGTTGGCGGTGTGGACGACCACCCCATGGACCATTCCAGCAAATCGGGCAAGTGTCTTGGGGGTTGTTTTGCTGTTTTCATTCTGCAATTGAACAGTATATTTCCTTCGTTTCCTATTGAGGCAGTCGCGGTAAATCCTGAGCTCACGTGACTTGGAGATTCATTGCTGGCAGGTCATGTGGTTTGAGTCGGTTTGAGGGCTTCAGTCTTGATTAACAAAGGTTACTACAAAGTGCACCGGAGTTAGTCAAACGTGGCATGCATATGCATGCACAAGGTATTCAATCGTGAAGGCAGTGTGGACCGAGTCTGAAAGGAGATGGATGAGTGTACTATTTTCTCAGAACCCACATTGAATTATTGGTTGGGTTGAACAACATTGGTCAGCATTCGGTGCTCAGGACTCCTCGACACTTGGTCGTCGCCTCTGGCCTGGTTGAGAGGCTTCAGGACCTCCTGAAAGCAACGCTCACTGCCGGGCTCAGAGTTGAAGCAGCTTTGCCTACTACTTCGGGCTTCGCTGAAGTGACACTTTTTTGCTCCAGGATGTCCATTGTTTGCTGAGGTGGAAAAGGAGTGTGCGGGAGGCCGTGTCGTATGCGGTCCTGCCTGTGGCGGAGTCCGTGTCGTTGTGAGGCGAGTTGGAAGGCATCAAGTACGAGCATCCGATCACTGGAGTTGAGACCCCACTGGCACCATACCCAGAGAGGGTCTGAATCTTGACCCTCACCGTCACTTTTGTTGACCAGACTGAAGATTCGGAAGAAGCTGTATGACCAGGCGAAGAAATCACAACTTTTCACGTTTTTGCAAAATGCAGGTGATGGGCGGCTCCAGCCTCAGTTTCCGTTGAACAATCAAGCTGAGCATGATGTAGAGACAAGCTCCCGTGAGTTGCAACGATGTATTGGGAGGTTTGTGTAGGAAGGGCGCTACTGTAGTATTGGGAGGTTTGTGTAGTATGGAGGCTACTAGTAGCTAAGTGCATTACTACTCTACTAGTAGGAGCAAGAAGCTACTAGTAGCAAGGTGCCTTACTACTAGTAGTAAGGACGCTACTTGTAGCTAAGTCAGTGCAGGTGACTACATCACGACAGAGTCGGGAACTGGACTGGCATGACACCCAGTCTGTGGTTGTCGTAGGCTTGTTGAAATTGTGAGGTGATGTAGCAGGACTTAAACAGATGCGTCCACATCCCAAAGAACTTTCCAGAAGTTCTCCGGACCAAATTTTGGCTTCAGCTCAAGTCCAGAGGTGTTCTGCATTGCAGTTTTCACGTCCTCCAAGATGGCCGCGCAAATGATTGGAAAGGCTGCACCTGACATGGCCTTGGAGGTTTTGGTCTCCGGTGAAAAGAGTAAGTCGAATCTGCTTTCATTGCAGAAGGCAGGACAGGCCATGATCATGGATTTCTTCGCACCTTGGTGCAAAGCCTGCCCCAAGGCTGCCCAACATCTGGACCACTTGGCAGAGACCTACTCAGACCGTTGCCAGTTTGTCTTGATTTGCGTTGATGGTTCCTTGGACGATGCAATGGCTTTTGCAAAAGAGCACAGCATCAGCCGTTGTGTGGTGGCGTCAGTTGTCGATGAGAACTCGCCCGAGAGCTACCAGGTGTCAGGTCTTCCACACAAAACACTGATTGCACCTGATGGCACGGTCGCACGAAACTATGAAGTGACACTTCCTGGGGACTTGGAGGAGGCTCTTGCCAAGGATACCAACTCCTTGGCACCACAGCCGAAGAAGAGCTCAATCTCTGACAAGTACAAGGATTTGGAGAAGCTCGACCCACTGTTGAAGGAAAACCCCCGTCGGTGGGTGATGTTTCCGCTTCAGTACCCAGAAGTGTGGGAGATGTACAAGAAGCACGAAGCTTCCTTCTGGACTGCTGAGGAGATTGACCTGGCCCAGGACAACAAGGACTGGAATGGTCTAAATGAGGGTGAACAGCACTTTGTGAAGCACGTGCTGGCATTTTTTGCCGCTAGTGATGGCATCGTGCTGGAAAATCTGGCACAGCAGTTTTCATCTGAAGTGCAAATCCCAGAAGCACGGGCATTCTATGGCTTCCAGACTGCGATGGAAAACATCCACTCCGAGACCTACTCACTGCTCATTGAGCAATACATCAAAGACCCCAAGGAGAAAGATGACTTGTTCGACGCCATCCACACAATGCCAGCAGTCCGTGACAAAGCTAGCTGGGCCATCCAATGGATGAACCGTGAGAGCAGCTTTGCCGAGCGTCTTGTGGCATTTGCTGCTGTTGAGGGCGTCCTTTTCAGCGGTTCTTTTTGTGCCATCTTTTGGCTGAAGAAGCGGGGTTTAATGCCTGGTCTTACCTTCTCCAATGAGCTGATCTCTCGTGATGAGGGATTGCATGCGGATTTTGCGTGCTTGCTCTACGGCATGCTTCAAAACAAATTGCCAGAAGAGGTTGTGCATGATATCATCAGGGGTGCGGTGGAGGTTGAGCGAAAGTTCATTTGTGGGGCCCTCTCCTGTGACCTCATTGGTATGAACAAAGATCTGATGACTCAGTACATTGAGTTTGTAGCGGATCGACTTCTCACAGCCTTGGGCCACAGCAAAATCTTCGGCTCATCCAACCCTTTTGACTTCATGGAGTTGATCTCTCTCCAGGGCAAGACCAACTTCTTTGAGAAGCGGGTTGGTGAGTACCAGAAGGCTGGGGTCATGGCTGGTAAGGAAGAGCAAGGATTGAATGCATTTACTCTGGATGCGGATTTCTGAGTCTGCAAGGACAGACACGGGGTGTTTGTGGGGCCAATCGTAGATTGGATTCGGACACGCACAGAGATGCTTGGTAGCTTATGTAGTTCTTTCGCAGTGCACAGCTCACAGCTGTTGGCGAAAGCTCCTTTGATCACGGGCAAGGCGGCAATGCCCGTGCATAAAAGAGATCGTTGCGACATCGTGAGACCATGCTGTTGCAACGATTATCTCGATCGTGGTGTGATGATGAGTGACATTGATTTTTGACCGTGCATTCCAGCGTAGGAGTGTGGGTGGGTGGGTTTAGAACGCCACATGCAGTTTCAAGGTGCACACGGCTCCTGGCCATGGTGCTGATGCGCGGATCCGAATGACCCACATGAGGGACTCACAGAGTCGTTGCTGTGCAGATTGCCTTGACGCCCTCTTTCCAAGGACTACTTGGTTGGTCAGAAGTATGGCTTGGAGGCACATTTGGAAACTATGAATTCTCCGCCCTTGACAACAGTGGGATAAAGTAACCCGTGCAATGTGCTGCAACTGTGTAGCACTGTTTGTAGCCGAAGCGGCTATGTTGGGCAATTGGGAACCCGGATGTCTAGAGTCTAGAGTCTAGAGTCTAGATTGCTGGCCAGGTCGCTGCACCTGTGGACAATGCAGGCAACTTTACAGAAGAGGTTGGTACGGAACTCAGGGTCCATAGAAAGTTTGACCGGCAAAGTAGTGTGATTCAGCGGCCTTAGGGCCTTAGGGCTGATGATTTCTGAAAGGCCTTGAGAGCTTGGTCGGGGCCAATGTCCTGAAGGACCTTACAGCTAGCAAAGCTAGCAAGTTCCTTTGCATGTCCTTGTGTTTGAGATTGTATCTGCTTTTGAGTCAATTCGATTGCAGACAGGATGCCAACTCCAAAGTCACCGACTTGCTGGAGGAGAAGAACTTGCTTTTGCTTCGGAAGCCGTGTGAAACTGAGGGTAGAATGTTTTTGACGAGGATGTCATTTCTTCGTTTCGTCAGTCTTCTTCATTTGCCAGTTCGAGACTGGCAACACAACTGGGGAGATCCGATTCTGGGCTTCATGAGAGGTACTCTCACAAGTATCCTTATGACTGGCGAAGCAAGAAGCCTGTCATTACGCGCGCAACTCCACAGTGGTCATCAGCTGAGCACTAGAGGCAATAGGTATGCTGTATATAGTACATACAAACGGTTTATTAGCGGCTTGTGTCAGCATGGTTTTCAGGTTTGCAAGCATTGATGGACTTCGTTCTAGCGTGCTTAAAGCAATGGACGAAGTTCAGCGGATGGCTTAGCTTGCTGCGATATTCAGAGATTGAGCAGTGCAGTGAAGCTGCATGTTCTGCCTTCTTGCATGGAATAAACATAGATCGTGTCTCCAGATGATTTTGCCCTTGTTGCGAGATGGATGATCCCATGAGCCGCTGCTGTGGGCCTTTTGACACTTGCTCTTTGTTCCTTGGGTGGCCTTCGCAGTGGAGTCAGTTGAGAGTTGGGCACAGTGCCTGATTCGGTCTGAAGCGGAGAGTGGCTGAAATTCTGGCTTTTGGATCTCCCCGCCATGGCCAAACTAGTCATCCAGGTCTTCTAGCACTCTCTGGCATTCAATGTGCCAACCCCAGTGTCACAAGGGTGGACCAGACCCTTGAGCCTCTCACTAGCTCATGAGCGTTTACCTGACGCATGTGTCTGCATGCGAATCTGTTCCCGTGCTGGAGGTGAGCGGTGTTGCTCATTGGTGGTTTCTGCGGTGCTTCCATCAATTGGATTTTAGAACCAACAGCATGGATCTATGAACAGCTTTTCCAGAAACATGGGCCGAGCTTGGTGTGAATTGCCGACCGCTCTTGATGGGAGTCTAGTCAACAGGAAGCTTGCCATGCATGGACAGGTCCTTCGTACTTGGATGGTGATCCTACCCTAAGTCTTTGTTGCTTGGAGAGCTCTTGTCTGCTACAGGGCGGACACCAAAAACCGTGGTGCAGCTGCACACATTTGCTGACCTTGAGTGCGTTCCCATCACTGGAATGGGAATGTTTCGGGAATGATCCGTGGCAAAGGTGATTTGGGGTGTGTTTTGTGAAGTTGGTGGTGTTGAAGTTGCTGATGTGATACGTAGGCATCATGAACATTTTATGGTATGGGGCAGGTATGTTTCCACAAATTTGCGATCCCTCGGCTCTACTGACGATGCACACAATTCTTGTGATTCGACAATTGTATGCTGATGCTGGACGCTGGCCCTCAGCACGACTCTTGGCCGCCTTTTTGTTGGGCCGCTCTGGGCCAGCTCATTCAGGCAACTGTTCTATGAGGAATATCGGCACTCATCACATACAGCCTATCAACAGCGGCCATGCAGTGATGCTGTGATGACACACAAAAGTGGCATCAGGATAAAAAAGAACAGGATCAAAAAGAAAAAACACAGGATCAATTCAAACATGAACAGTATCCAAAACAACATAATCCTGACTAGGTCCCCTGGTCCTTTGGTCCGCTGGTCCTTTGGTCCTTTGGTCCGCTGGTCCCCTGGTCCTTCGGTCTCCTGGTCCGCTGGTCTCTTGCTCTCCTACTCCATTGGTCCCCTGCTCCTTCGGTTTCTTGGTCCAGTGGGCACCTAGACCTAGTCCGTTTGGTCTCCTAGTCCGCCGGTCTTATGGTCCTTCAGTCTTGGTAGCTCCCTAGTAGAGAGATAGCTTCCCAGTGGGGTGCTAGCTCCCTGGTAGAGTATTTCCCAGTAGGGGGATGGCGCTGTCTATACTTGATTTGCATTACGGGGGAAGCGCTGCGCCCTCCCCCGCACCCCTCCCGCTTGCTTAATAGTTGTCGCTACCCTTGCTATTACCAGTACCTCCAACACTCCGACCACCCCACTACCAGTCTTACCACAGTTACCACAACTACTATCTTCTTTGCATTGACAGAACCACGAACTTAGCGGTGGCAGAAACAGTTCCCATTACCCCTACTATTACCAGTGCCTCTATCACCCCGACCACCCCACTACGAGTCTTACCACAGGTGCCACAACTACTATCTTCTTTGCATTGACACTGCCACAAAGGTGGATGATAAGAATAATGCCGACCTTCGCTTAGCCGTGACAACGCCGCAAAGGAGGATGATAAGGCCCACCTTCGCTTAGCTGTGCCAGCGCCGCAAAGGCGAATGATTCTCTATGTCTGCGCTGTGGATATTTTTTTGATTTTACTACTACTACTACTACTGCTGCTGCTGCTGCTACTACTACAACTACTTCTGTTACTACTACTACTACTACTACCAGTACTACTACTACTACTACTACTGCTACTACTACTACTACTACTACTAATATACCTACTACCTCCTACCTGCTACCTGCTACCTGCTACCTACTACCTACTACCTACTACCTGCTACCTACCACCTCCTACCTACTACCTACTACCACCACCACCACGACTACCACCACTACCACCACTACCACTACCACTACCACTGCGACTACTACTGCTACTGCTACTGCTAGTGCTACTGCTACTGCTACCACTACGACTACGACTACTACTGATACTGCTACTGCTACTGCTGCTACTACTACTACTACTACTACAGCTACAGTCCTTTCCCAATTCTTTTTTCTTCGCAGTGAATAGTTTTTTTTCTATTTTTCTTTTTCTTTTTGATCCCTTTTGAATATTGTCTTTGATGCTGAACTAATTTTGTTTGATCCCTCATCACCAAAAAGTCGCCTTAGTCACAGCCTTTTACCCACTAGTTTCTGCGCACAAACACATCCAAATCCAGCCCATGCCACAGCCTTTTGCCATCTATTTTTGTGCCCTCTGATTCTAACCAAGAACACATGCCGAGGGAAACAAACAAGTCTCTCAAACCTTTCCGCTGGCATCTAGACGTCTGTGTCTGCAACTTTCTTGTTCTAGCCCAGACCACAGGCTTCTACCAATTTATTTCTGCGCGCAAACATCTAGCTGGCACATGCCCACAGCGGACTTTGTTTTTGCATCCTTTCTTTTCCTTGTTCATTTTGATTGGGCCTTTCCAAACAGCTTGCACTGGTGAATATGGGCCCTAAAAGTCCAGTCGATGATTTTCCAATTTCTCTGCCACGTCCTCCTTTCCTCCCTTGTCGCATCATTTCTGGTGGCACCATTACATCTGACAATTGCTGGGTATGTTTGGTGATGGCTGCATGGAGCTTCCCATTTTGAGGATGTGAACTCATTGAATCCCACTGAACTGTTCTTCGCAAAGGTTTATTCCGGAGAGCTATGCCAATCGTATGCGACCAATGGTTGAGGGCAGGAGTGTGCGATCCCTAGTGAAATTGAACTAGAAGAAGCAAATTGGACATAGAATTTGTTGACAGTGCAAATATTGGTCGTACATTTGTTGTTGATAAGGACTGGTGCATTTCTCGCCAGCGGTCTTGGGGTGTGCTTGGAACCTTGAAGTCCGTTGGTCGACAATTCGCATCGTGATCCGTGAAGAATTGGCTGAACAACAAGAATTTTTGTAGACCTACTGTAGGGTAGGGGCACTGCCAAACTGATTGTGGGGATGTATTTTCTCAACTTGACAACTCCGCTGATTCAGCCTACTTACTGGACCGCTGCAGTAGGAAGGTTGAACGGCAAGGTAGCTCGAATGTCGGCTTCCAGACATTGACAGACAGGGTGCAACGAAACTTAATTCTTCGCTTCTAGTCTCTGTCGAAGTCAATCCCTTGCATTCGTTGTTTCCTGCGAGGCTTGTTCTTGGCAGGTGAGAGTTATCTCGAGAAGCAGTGGTGATAGACTGCAGATGTTGATGGGAACGTCAACGTAGGCTCTCCCTACCACAACACCTCTCTGCATCACTCGTATGTTGACTGGCCAAAACCAATACGCAGTGCTCACTTGCTGGAGCTGTGGTCTTGTGATTGCGAGGCCCATTCCAGCCTTTTATCGAAAGGATACTGGCGAGCCACTTCTCAATACTGACGTAATTAGCCACGCCGCGTTCTTAAAGTGACTGGGCTTTGGCCACGCGTTCAGCTGCCTTTTTTCGGTGCTGCTGAAGATCTGAGGTTCGAGAAATTATCGAGGAAAGAGGGAGCAACGCATGGCCCCTGTCTTGGACAAAACGAGGGGCATACGATGCATCGACTTGATGAGCTTTTGAATCCCAAGACTGACTCCTTAGGTCCTAAGTACTTGAGGGTCCGCTGCAAACTGAGGTTCGAGCTTTCCATAGCAGAATTGCTCCCTGAGCAGTATCGGGATTCAGCCGATGAGTATGAAAGAGGCTGTGTGCTTATGTCTCTTGATGGTTGCCAACTTTGGGTTTTCACGGGCCCGTTTCGCTTAAGTACTGTATTTGGGCCTCCGAAGGAAGTGCAGGAAAAAAGATTTGGCCAGGCACCGATACCATGGATGTTTGGTTTGACTCTGGCTCTTCCTGGGCTTACGCTGTGACCTGAGTTCCAGATGTTCATCTGATTGGCCTTGAAACCGTTGCAGTGCTGCTAGGTTGAAGGGGAGCTCGGGTCACCTGTCGATTTGTACTTGGAGGGCCAGGATCAGCACCGTGGATGGTTCGGCCCTTGTACTTGTGCACGCAATACAAAGCGTACTCCAATGTACAGTACAAGTGATGGTATTGCAAGGCACTTGTTCTTGCAGACAGACGTATTGGTTTTATATACGATCTGTTGCTTTGCAGGTTTCAGTCCTCCCTTATCACATCCGTAGCTGTCAATGGCAGAGCGCCATACAAAAGCGTGTGCAACCAAGTTTGGGGTATCACTCTTGCAACCAAAGGTCAATAAGTATGGTTTTATTATGTTTTATGGAAGGGACGCAGCGCATTTCACCTGTGGGGACGCTTCACTCAGGTCATGACGCACGGCTTTTGTGCACCCATCTCAGACACATTGGACCGGTTTTGAAGACTTTGGTTTTGATGTTAGGAGCCTTCAACTATTCATGAACTCGGGAACCCACTCCCACACTTGCCCTCAAGTGCTAGCGCATTCAGTTTCCGAACCGCTTTGCCACTTTGCCGCTTTGCGGTTGACACCATCAATTTGCCGCACAGATACATCCCTCCTGGGAAGCACCACCTTTCCTGGACAAACCGGTTTGATTTCGTGCATATATTTGTATATATAATGTACTTGATGCAGAGCACACACCTTGGCCAACACAACTGCCTCATGTGCTTTTCATCAATACTTGCCCTTAAGTGCAGCATAAGCCCTCGCAGGTCCAACGGAGCAGCAACCAATGCCCTTTAAGAACTCTGTTGGCATTTGCTGCAGCTACCTCTGCTGATGTATAGAAGCGTCCACACTCCATGCAAACAGTTGACGCCATTTTACCGACAAACTCACTCCATGGAATATAGCTTCCTGAAACCTAGCCCCAGGTGTTCTAGTTACATCTCCCACCAAGGACCCCATTCCCTTTCAAACTTGCTTGAAAAAGGGTGAGTTGTAGAAGCGACATGAAGCAACTCTTTCCACATTTGTCATGCATATGTGTTTCTTTTCCTACCTGGTGTGGAACATCTTCCTCTCAATTTTTCTCAAGTGGCACCACCTGCAAGGTGGATGAAAATGGCAGAAAAATGAGCAAGTCTTGTGCTAAGCTTCTCCGGTTTTTGGCCTGAATTGCACACGAATGTGGCAATGAGTCTGAGAGGTCAATTGGGAATGTGATTGATCCAAGAACCATCATCGAGGGTGGCAAGAATCAAAAGCTGGAGCGAAATACTTTTGAAAGACACTCAATGTTTCTCATAATTGCACTTCTTTGGATGAAAGAAATCATCATCAATAAACACATTTCCAAATGTGAAGACAGAAGACATTGAACCTGGGAGGAGCGAGCTCGAGGAGCGGATGTGCTGGGACCTTGACGTAGAGGCTCAACAGGTAGGAGCGAGTTGAAAGCTCATTCAGGTTACGCTTCTGGGTTGCTTCTGTGGGCTTCGCAAGCGATGTATCCATTAGCAACAATCTCAGCGCTTTGAATCCCTTCGATCCTTTCCAGATCCGTATTCTTTCTTCCGTATGCTTGTCAATTAGGCTTGGGAATTCTGAAGTCCACTGAAGAGAATGTGCGTAGATTGCGAAATCGAGCCAGATTTGTCAAGCTGGCAAGATTGCAGGGCAACTGAAGGATTTACTTTGAATTGTTCACCATGACTTCGGCTATGCGGAATCATTGCAGATTCTTGGCAACATCCATGACTTTGACGTGGCTACAGAAGGCATCCCATACGAGGATCTACCAGTGTCTGGTTCTTGGTCCAGTCCGACTTGCAACGCTGAGATGGATTTGGCCTAATTACATAAAAAAGAACCACTAATATATATATATATGGATGTTGTCCATTTTTGAGGAAATATAGAATAGCCATATGGAGGTGTGTGTTATAGAACACAGAAACCGTCGAAGATCCCTTATATAGTAGAAGGAAAGATAGACTAAAACCAATTGGTTGGTATTCAAGTGTGCACCCACATGTAGAAAATGTAGGAGGTAGTATGCAGCTCTGTGCCCACACACACACACACACCATTTCACATGCATGCACATAATGCTTTTATCAGATTCCTTGTCACTTTAGGATTGATCAATGCATCATTCGCAGAGCAGAGAACGTCTTTGACCAGATGAAGGAGGCAAAGCGAGTTTTTTGCTCGGCTTGCATATCACAAACTTTGTGGTCTAAAATGATTGCTTGCGGCGTGGACATGTGGATGCCGGAGGCCTATGATGCTTACTCCTTCAGCGTTGCGACCAAGCTCCTTGACAGGCTCCGACAGAACGAGCAGAAAGCACAGAAGGTCAGAAGGACATCAATGAAATAGCACCTTCTCACAGAATGGAGAGATTTGCTGCATCCCAAAATGGCTGGAGCAAGGTAGCCAGGTATGTGCAGGATTTGTGAGACGTTTTCTCCAGGTTCACGTCAGTTGACTTGTCCTCCCTATACCTGGATCTAGCCAAAGACAGGCGTGGATGAGGGTTGATCTCACTCTCCATTTGCACTGAAAGGGGTGACGAAGTTCTTTGCACAGGCTATACACATCCGGGAAAACGAGCCACTCGCGCCGAAGTGTGGCTCTTAAAAAGACGAGGTCAACCTATAGCCTATAACATGTTATACCTAGGTCAACCTATTAACACCACATGTGTCTAGGTATTGCTGTGGTGTTAAGACAAGGTGTTGGTAGTTCTTTCGGGAATCAAGTCGAAGTGAACGACGAAGCTACCATAGGCAATTCGGGGATCACATGCTGAAAGCAAACACCTAAATCTTTTGCGATGAGGCTGTCAAACCGTGTTGCGTTGGATTCTGGTGAATATGACGAAAGCCATAGCGCCGGTGCGCCTAGACACTCGACCCAATGTGTTGTACACAGCTTCTTTACATCAGGTACTGTGCCACCTTGCAGAAGACATTTGGCAATTCCTTCCTCCTGGAGAGAAGGCCAGGTTTGCAGCATGCCTTGTCGCACCGACAGAATTGGTTTCAAGTGGTACCCTCTTGGGCGATGACCCGCGCTGGTGCGGCTCTAACCCGCGCTGGTGCGTGGACCCGCGCCCTTGGGCCTTGGGCAAGAGGCCTTCGGCCTCCCGAGCGATGGTGGTGTCTCTTGTGGCTGTTTGGCTCGATGGCCATGGCCGGATGGCGATGCTTCGGGGCGTGGCATGGCGATCTCACAGGCGATGCATGGTGAACGCATTCCGACGGTGTCTCTGGTCTTTCCGCATTCCGACTTGGACAGGGTGGCGCATGGTGAAAGACGCACCAATGACTGGGACAGTCTGTTGCTGCAGTTGGCTGTTGCAGAATGAGTCATGATGAGCATGAGTCAGCTTTTTCATTGAGGATGTTTTCTGCCAGGAGTGGATTTCGAGGAGCAGCTGTCGCCGAAGAGGTGTTGGGTAGTGTTTTTTCAGTGCGGACATGCATCGCTGCGCGCATTGCTGCGCTGTTCTTCATTTTCCCGGACTGCAAGGTGGGATGCAGCGACTCCGGGCAACCCGTTGACATCTCAAGAGATCGTGTCTTGGAATGTGCAAATTTTGTGTCACTGAGGAAGGATTTGGTGCCAAGGCGTGCCGGACGTGATGTTACATGATGTGAGATGAGATGATGTTACCTGACGTGGCGTGTCGAAGTTGTGGGGTTCTGTCGTCATGTCGTGAGTTGCAGGGCTTTGAAGCTGATGTGGCCTCGTGGACTTCATGGCTCAGGCAGGTTTGAGTTCACTTGGCTCGGGCAAACAATATCTGCCTCATGGCTTGAATTTCGTGCTGCGGGTTGGGGGGGAATATTACTTGTTTTGCTGTTCTTCAGGGATGACTCAGCAGCAGTTCGCAAGCAAGCGGTGCCTGGGCTGCAAAAGCTTTTGGAAGATGTGTTTCAGTCAGCTTCCTTTTTATCCGTGAGCCCAGGCTAAAGCTTTGGGGAAGATTGGGCAGGCACACTGACACAATGTGCGAAGGTCTTGTCTTCATATCTCTGGCGAGGCGGCTGCAGACTCTGCCCCGCAGCTGGCCGAATGTCTCAAGGATGAAGATCCAGTGTCTTGGAGAAACATGGAGGATGGAAGCCAAAACACCACTGCTTCCCAAATATGGCCTGAGGAAGTGCGAGCAAGTGCTGCTTCTGCCATTGGATGGCTGACACAGGCACCAAAAGCCAGTGCGAGACATTGATGAAGAGCGTTTCAATTCCAACTGTCGCACGCTTTGCAGGCAAGCCAGCCCGTGCAAGATAGCTTGGCGAAGGCTCTGGAGGATCCTGAACCTCGCGCCAATGCCCTAGAGGACAGTGACTTGCAAGGCTTTCTCATGAAGGGACTTTAGAGCTTGTCACATCATGAGGTCCGCATCGCGGCAGCAGGTTCCTTCGGTCGCCTGGGCGAGACTGCAGCTTGTGGCGTAGCAGAAGCTCTTGTTGGTCGGCTCGCAGATTCCGAATTGCACGTACAGGCAGGTAGGGCTTGAGACTGAAGCATCACGATTGACAGAAGGGGCTGGAGAAATCACAACGCACAGCTGCAGGTTGCCGCTGCTGGAACCTTGGCGCGGCATTTTAAAGCAATTGCGATGAAGCTCACGAGTCAACTGAAGAATGCTGGACCAGGAGCTCGCCAGCAGGTACGGAGAAGTGTTGAGTTGCATGCCAGTCTACGTCCACTGATGACTTCACTTGTCTCAGCCTTTCGCAAGACTCATTGAATGCTTTGAATGGGCTGATTGATATTTGCATATTTGCAGGCTGCTGAAGCATTGGGCCACATGGGAGCTGCAGTCATGCAGTACTCGGAGACCACACTCGTTCAAAGCCTGTCAGACCCAGATTCAGGCCGCATCAGGAACCAAAGCGGGCTCACTGGAAGGGTAGGAAGAGACCACATGATTCGCAAAATATGATATCATTAACAAGGAGCTACTAGGGGCTCCTGGCATCACTACTAGGAGCAAGGACGAGGGCTCCTGGCCCTACTACTAGGAGCAAGTAGCTACTGTTAACAAGAAGCTACTAAGGGCTCTTTTCCTTTTTGATTGAAGGTGTTCGAAGAGCGGCTGGAACTGCTCTCCGCCTAATCATGAAGGAATCCTGCGAGTCATCAGGCCGGGTGTTCTCAGTTTCTGCAATCAAGGTTCACATCAGCACCCTAAATCAATGACACAATCGCCCGACCCAGAGGCTTTCCTTCCTTGCTATGAAAAACATCCTTCCGCGACAAGTCATGGGAGACCTGTGAGGTGAGACGTCGGACAAGCCAGACTTCGAGATTGGAAGCAAAGAGAAGGCAACACAACATGGCACACCCTGCTTTGGAAGTTTCAAGACAATTCGGCTTATGCGTGTAGAACACATTTTTTGTAAGAGTTGCATTGACACTTCTACCACAGTGTAAAGCTGATCCATGACATATATATATATATATCGCGAATGTAACCATAAACACATACAATATGTATGTATATATGTATTATAAAATAAAGCTGTTGCATACGGCTTATGCCTTAGCCACATGCTGATGTGTTATTTATGTGATGACATCAGTGGCCTTTATCAATTTGTTCTGTGTCACTAACAGAGCATTTTTGTTCCAAACTAGGAGTCAACCCGGCCACAATACGTCACCAATCACAAGTACAGTGAACTCACGTAGAGAGATGAGATACAATTCAATGGGCTTCTGAAAGTGCAGTATTCTTATGCGGAGTTGGCGAAATGCCACAGTCTCAGTGCAAATCACTCCTGCGTCCACCCCGCCTTTGAGGGACTAAGTAATTCGCAATGGCACCTCGTGTAGCCATCGCATGCCACCATGGCAACAAATCTCTTATTCAGGAAGCTATGGCTTGTAACTTAGCCTTTCATCAACTAGCACAAGAATAATTGCTAAACCCACCTTTCTGCAAGCACCTTGACCGTACACGTCCCCTCTCCATACAAAGCAATATGTTGTCCATCAGTTGTTTTTTTTTCATAGTCGTGGCATTTAAGATGTTTTTCATCATCTGAACTCGCCAGGCCACAACAGTTGCACTTAGCGTGGGGCAGTCCTGATCTTTACATAAAACTCTTTTCGCGGCATAGGTACAAAAGTACACTATACATATAGCAGAAATTCATATATATATCTATATATACGTAACATATTAAAGTGTCACAGCCAGCGCAGCGACTGTCGCACGTTTAGGCCTTTGACCTTTCAGCGCGACTTGGAGCACCTTTGCTCCAAAGCAGATCGGATTCTTGGCATCAGCAGAGCTATTCATTGCATTTCCATTTTGGTTCTGAATAGCTCCGCTGCAAACGACTGCTGGTAGAAAGAAGTGGATGTTGCACTGAGGAAGGAGCAGAGAACAAAACGAAGCAACGTCGCAAGGTGGGACAGAGAGTGACCAGCTTCCAGATTCACGTGTAGTGATTTCAATGAACTCTAAGCATTCGCAACAATGCTGCTGAAGAGCAAATCCTTTCGTGATCCTTCGTGCAACCATTTGCTGGTGGTTAGAAGTTAGAAGGCTGTTGACGTTGGTGAAGCATGGATGTGCAACAAGAACCCATCAGAACTTTTCAAAGGTCACCTTTGCCGAAGCACAGGGTGCCATGCAGCCATGCTTGCCGCATGGACAGTTTTCAAGCCCAGGACCAATTTGAGGGCTATGAACTGTCAGCTGGCAAAATGTATTTCAAACTTCCAATTCTGGCTTTCTGTACTTCAGAACTGACAACAAACATGAACGATCCGTTCGCTTGAAAGTCTGAGCTGAAGGAGAAGGCCTATCCGCAGGCACACGAGAGCTGCCTCGGTGTGCACCTGAGAGGTTCTCTTACGAATTTTTCGAAGCAGATTTCACTGCCGAGGCTGCTGGGCACTCCGAAATCAAGGCGTGAAGCGCCGACTTTTGATGTGGGCAAAGAGCCTTGGTCGAATCTTGCGGCTTTTGGTTCGCTTCTTCCTTTGCATTCACCTTTCTAAATGAGGATAACCCAACAGATCCTGGGTCCTGCCAGCATATGCGGCATGTTTATGAGGACGGGGATTCTCAACCAAAATGCATGACTCTTCGAACAGAGCTGGCCACATTGAAGGCTGAAACAGTTTGAGCGATGTGAAGGTCTGATGAATGGCTCACAGCCTGCCACAAAGAAATGGCCGCGAGGTTGGGCTGTCGGTTGGCTTGACGTTTGGTCTATTGAAACGCCGGTGTGTGCCGCAGGAAGACCTCGACCATGAGAAGTGAATCACAAGCACATCACTTCGATTGGCGACCAGAATACCGGAATACCGGAATTCTCTTCAGCACTGATTTCGAAGTGCCATGCACCTGTTGTTTTGGTGCTGGAGTTCTGGCCAAGTGCATGAACGTTCACATGCCATGCATGAACCTTTTGGAGCCGTGCTTTGAGAAGTGATTGCATCCAAACGGTGGCACGTTCAATTTGAGAAGTGGCTCTAAAAGGTGGAGCAAGTTTTGCTCACTGTTTGCACAGTTTTGCCAAATTATGTCCACTCCTTTGTCCACCGTGAGAGCGATAAAGACAAAACCATTCTGGGATTCTGGGAGGAGTGACTTCCTGTGTAACTGTTTTGAAACATGGCGGGCATGAGGGGCGTAGATGCAGCCTGCTGCGCCTGTTTGGTGTGGCTTCAGCTGTACCGTTTGTTGCCGACGAGATGGGCAGTGCAATATATTGACAACAGGTGGGTATATAAGGAATGGTGAAAGATCAATAATTGCATTTGCCCTACTAGAGATGTGAGATGTCACTTAGTCCTGATTTACGCGTTGGATCCGAAGAGTTTCCTATAGCTTGCCCTCAACTGTACACAAAGCATGAGTAGGATCCGGCCTGGGCATTCCTAGCATTCCTTTTTCAACAGCGGAGACTTTTCGCACACAGTACATTCTCTTGCGGCATGTTGCTTTTGAGCAGACCGTCACAGGCCCACTGACTTTTGAACCAGGAGGTAATCATGTGCGGACCAGTCAGTGGGCTTCTGTTTGTGCTCGGAAATCTCTGTTCAGTGTCCAGTTAGCAACTGAGCTGAGAAAGTGTGATCTTTTTCTCAAACATGTGTCCTTATTGTGCAAGACTGATATGACAACCTGGCGGCAATCAAAAAGACTGCTTTGCCCTTGACTGTGGCAAACAGCAGAGTTGGTGCTTCATCAGGCTTCATACAACTTTATTTTCTTGTTGTGTCCGACAACCTTGCAGTTGCAGGAAGAGAGTGTATTCCTGGCTGGCTGGTGCAAGCCCTTTCCAAAATCCGGGGAGGCTGGTTTGTACGGTTCCAAGGGGCGGGGTCCGGGTTCTGCTTCAAGTGCCAGGTGGGTGCTAGAGTTCAAGACATGGACAACATCCTGCAGCTGCAAAGCACTGAGAAACCACTTTGCTAACAGACACACTCCGCACAAATACTGAAGAAGGTCTTTGAGTCGTTGGGCACGATGCTGCTTTTGCTCATTCAGGCGTGATCCTGTCAACCAGGCTCTTGAGCGAGCTCGGGGCAACAAGATGATTGGCTCTCCACTAGACGTTTGGATCTTACTTTCCGAGTTTGAGAATGCAGACAGATGCAGAGGTGTAACGTGGAGAAACATACAACCCAGGCACAGGTCAAGATCATGGTCAAGAGCGATTCTGATCTTTACAATGCCTTGGAACAAATGGTGCGGATCTCAGGCAGCCGTATTTCAAGTGTATTTCGCAAACTCTTGCACAGGATAGTACCAGCTGAATCAGTGTCGCCAGAAAAGGATTGGGTGTCTCTAAAAGAAGTTGTTTTATGATGTTTTATGTTGGTTTCTATTGTGACACAAAACGGGAATCACCTGCAATCTGCAATCTGGATAGGAGCACCTGCAATCTGTGTGTGTCTTGTCCAGTCACTTAGGCAAAGGTTGAACATCAAAGCGTGGATGGCCTCAACTGGCTGCTATCAGCGAAACCCCGAGTTAAATACAGAACATTTTGCATTTCTGCTGTTTGTGTGTGTGTGCAGTTTGTGCAATCTGCATGTTTGTTTTCGAGATGGACAGGTGTCACAGGCGCACTATGAAGCTGTGGACGCGCTGCCAGAGCTTCCAAATGAGTCAGATGAGTCCGCCAGCAGTGAAGACAAGGATCCTAGATGCACTCGACTCGTTGAGTCCGGAAAGCGAAGTCATGTTCTAAAGATCCACTCTCAAAGTAAAGATCCACTACTTTGCACACCAGTCTACTTTTGCAAAATTGATCGTGAAGCTCAAGGTTCAGTAAGAGCACCATGAGTAGCATTGGCAGCTGCAGCAGCAGCAGCAGCAGCAGCAGCAGAAATAGTAGTAGTAGTAGTAGTAGTAGTAGTAGTAGTCGTAGTAGTCATAGTAGTCGTAGTAGTCGTAGTGGTAGTGGTAGTGATAGTAGTAGTGGTAGCAGTTGTAGTATGCCTACCAATCAACTGGGGATCGTTAGGGCTAGAGCTTTTCGCATCGAGCCTGCTCTGAACTATCATGGAATTGCAGAGAGCTTGATCATTGTTGAACCCGTGAAGCATCCAGTTTTAAACGGCGTTGGTATCGTTGGTGCAGTGAACGCGTCCTATTGCAAGGCGGGGCGTAGTCGGACTATGCCAGTAATTTCCTTTATTTACCATCACTGCAGCAGTGATGGTTTTGGTCGTTGAGTTGGACTAGCACAGGTTTAGATCTTGCGCTTGCAAGGACCTTGGGGTCGTCGTCATTGTGGCTCGCCCTGTGCTTAGCTCCGACCAAGCACAGATTTTGACTTTTTGCACTCGGTGTTTGTGCACAAGAAGCTACTAGGGGCTCCTGGCATCGCTACTAGGAGCAAGGACGCTACTACGAACACTCTAGTTACTAGTTGCACATCTCAGAGCACCGAGGTGCCGCCGGCACCAAGTGCGAACGCTGCTGGGTCCACACCACCAATGTTGGTGACTGCAAGGTGGTTGTTCTTTTGAAGTTTGGAATATGGCCCCGGTTTCCTGTAGAAAACTTCATTTTTCACTTGAATCTAAAGAATGTAAGCATGGCTTGGGGGTGGCAAGCTACTTTCAGGAGCACCCAACCATTTGCTTACGTTGTGCTGATGTAGTGCAAGAGATGGGCGCAGGGCACTCAGGAAAGCACCGATTGCAGTACCTGAGTAGTGAGTGTGTGCATTGTGCACTGCGTGCCCGTTGTTCTTTGGGTCTTGTTCTTCATGTCGGCACCACAACAGCACGTCACGATGCTCACGATGCTCACCACGTCATCGATTTCACCGGTTTTGTTTGTCGCATTTTACATGGCACTTCACTTCTTTGAACCATCAGCCGTCACACATTTGCAAACTAGGAACAAGTGCATCGCTACTAGGAACAAGTGCCTTACTAGTAGTAACAATGTTTGCTATAGGAACAAAAGGGCATTAGTACCAGTAACAAGGACGCTATTAGGTGGAGGCCATCGCAAGTAGGTTGGAGGCCATCGCTTCTAGTAACAAGGACGCTACTAGTAGCAAGGGGAATCTTATTTGCAAACTAGCCGTATTGTTTGAGACGTTGCTCCAATTTTCCTGACACTCATCAAGATTGCCAAGGGAGATGACTGTTGTATGCATCACACTCACATCTCTTCGCTGTCTTGGCTCCGCTGGTGTTGCGTTGGACTCTAAGAGGTCAGCTAGAGGGAGCAATTTTCCGCAGGAACGCCTCAAGCAACTTGGTTTGGGCAGCCATATGTGTTGTATACAACACTTTGGAGAAAAGTACACATGAAAACTATGACAACAACAATTGCATCAGTACAGGCACTACAGGCACATAAGCGAGGCATAGACCCCCTTGGCCCTAAACTTGTGTTCAAAAATGAATGACACCTGAACCAGTGAATTGAATGCACGAATCCAGGTACAGCATCAAAGTGTATTGAATCAAAGAACCACAAAAGTTGAGCCCAGACCTACTTGTGTCAAAACAGAGAAACAAACCTGAAGCTGAGCCTCGGCAAAAACTATGCCTACCAAGAGTCCCCTTACTTTTGGCCGAGAGGTGCCATCACCTTTGGAAACAGTTGACTCTGCTGGGCACTCAAGCAAATCCTTCATTGACCCACATAGAGAGTGACGAAGAAAAGATTCGCTTGAGACATTGTAGAAAACTGCTTCTTCTTTTCCTTCAGAGCTCCTCCTTATCCAAGGCTTGACGAGTGCAGAATTCTCCACCATTTTCAAAGTGATCCATCGATCGCTTTGGTGTAGATAGCTGGACGCAGCGAGCGTTGCAGTTTCTAGGCGTTTTACATAATCGATTTTCGCTTTGCCCAAGGCAGCTCCATTTCATTTCGACCCAAATGATCCAGGTCCGCTCTGGAAACTAGTGGAAGAATTGTAACAACATGTGTATGGAATAATACGTGTATCCAGGATCCTTCTTGAAGTAACGTCAGAAAAGTTCCAAACTTGAACTTCAAAGATGCTCTACTGTATGGAGGCAATATCAATACCCTTTCTTCCTTGCAACGGGTGACGTAGCAAAGGAGTTGGGTCATTATCCACAGGCAATGAGATCTGCGATTCAAAACTTGGGTGGACACTTTGGGCGACGCGTCGCGTTGACGTCATTGCACGAAGCTAAGGGCCGGCCGCATCGACGTCATTGCGATTTGGTGAAACAGTTGCTGCCATTGACTCAAAGGAACCCCAGCACTTTGAGTAGGATCATGTCGTGCGCAGACGCAACGTCGCGAGCGGCAGTCAAAGACTCAGAAACCATGATGTTTTTCAGTCACATGACTACACATAAAATGACTGTACAGTTTGTAGTGACTGAAGGACACTTTCAAAACGCTTCTGGTCTTTTCAATGCATTTTGGAACAAACTTTTGGATTCATCCCTGTGGGTGCTGCGTTGAAAGGCTGCCTTCGACATCTTGGATGTCGATGGCGATGGCATTCTGGGGCAGGAGGCGTGAAGTGATGCGAAGTGGTTCCAAACGTTTCCGGTCTTTCTGCATTATCTCCAGGACATATCGATGGCTCTGGAAATGTGTGGCTTTGAAGCAGAGGCAGAGGGGCCATTGTACCAGCCACAAGTACTTAAACTGGACACTGGTGCCACCGTGACATTTCCAGGCAGCAACTATAGCAGACTTGGCTGCCGGAAAGACAAAGGCGTCGCAAACGAAAGGCCTGGCCCTTTGAAGCACAAGCCGCAAGCCGCAAGCCGCAAGCAGCTTGTGCTAAGCTTGCCATTTTCTTCCTTTTTTTGCCCAATGAGGGCGCCTTGTTTTTGGCAGAGAAATCACTAAGATCCTCGCGGCGCTTCGCCAGAGGCGTTCCAATGGATAGTGGAGCCTTCGAAGCCCTGGTGAAGCAACACAGCTGTGGACTCGGTGCAGTTGTGTAGCTTTGGAATATCGATTGAAAGATCATCTGCGCAACGGAGAAAAAGCTTTGAATGTCATACTGTATTCTTTGAGCCTGCAAGGCAGGGAAGTGGTGACGTGGAAGAGAGATGCCCAATCCTTGTTGCCGCCCCCCTTCAGCTACACTTGAGTTGGATGACTTCGAGGTATTGGCACAAGCAGTGACGGCTTTCGGAGGTGGGACTGTTGGCGTTGCAGTGGGATTGTGACAACAAACCTTGATTATGGTAGCCCCTAGTAGCGAACACTGCTCCTAGTAGCAAGGCCAGGAGCCCCTAGTAGCGTCCTTGCTCCTAGTAGTAAGGCCAGGAGCCCCTAGTACCGTCCTTGCTCCTAGAACTTGGACATTGCAAGCATCCCAGTTGCAACGCAAACCCCATCGGCAAGTCGAGCACTCGCCAGATCCAGACTTTGTGGATGCGGATCACCTGACAGAAGGTTGGAAACTGAAAAGCCAAAGACCTGCGGCAAGGGACCCCTGGGGAAGGATATCAAAGAGCACAGAACATACCTCGACGCGGTCCGACTCTGACTCTGTCCATCAACAGTGCAGATTGCACAGTGGAAAAACATAGCACAAGGAAGTGCTGCATACAGGATCATGAACGCTCATGTACACACATTATATATATAGAGTGCTACTGTATATATATATATAGTATATAGATAAAACGGGTGCTTCAACATATTGGGTAAACGGGGGGTTTGCCCCGACTGCAACATGCAGAGGGTCAGAAAACCATGCGTTATATACATATATATATATATGGTTTTTGGGGTTTCGGGACACTCAACTTATCGTCTTGGAGTTAGTGAACTCCAACACGATACGTTGAGTGCTTTTTGAAGACCATTCAAAGACCACTCAGTCAAGCCCTGGAGTCTTTCCCGTCCTCCCACCTGGTCGATGATCTGCAACTCAAGGAACCTTTTGCGGCACGACTTCAGTCCTCTTCCCAATTGAGCCATGACAGCTCACTGTACACTTGAGCTGGCAGACAAGTGTCTTGCACAACCTCTCTGTGTATTCTCACAGCCTCTAGCATTGAGTCCAACCCCGGATGTTGGCTGAACCACAAGCTGCGAGGCCTTCAACATGCTCTCGTTGCGTGACGACGTCGGTCCAGAAACGCGATGTTTGACTTGCGCAACGAGTAAAACGAGCGAAGCTGTCCCAGCCCCCCCCCCCCCACAAAACATTGTTGGCAAACCCCCCCGTTGACCCAACATGTTGCAGGCCTTTGTAAGCTAGGCTTGGGTGCCACGAAGAAGGAGGCAGTGGCACACAGTCACAGCAGCACCGCTTGCATCAACAATGTAATGTTCTCACTCTTTTGGACACAACCTTAAATGTTTTCGCATCACTAATGGAAGTTTGTTCGAGGCGTTGGAAATGCTGAAAGATTTTGACAAGGACTTCTTGTGAACCTTCGCTTCGGACTTTGTGCCAGAAGCGTCTAACCGTGCAGTATGCAGGATGCGGATGGCAAGCTGTCTCGGGATGAGTTGGTGGAAATGCTAGGCTGTGCATGAAACCATAGCGTTCACTCTGCACTAAGGGTTGCGGACATCCTTTGGACGATTACTAGCAAGTGATCTTGGTTCGTTCTTGACTTCAAGTTGTTAGATGTTGTTCTCAGACAAGACTCTACTTTGGACATAAACCTCAGGCTGTTGAACAACAATTTGTTTGATTTTAGACTCCAAGCTCGCCTCGATCTAATTAGACGCATGTCAATTCAGTTTCCCGTTTCGCACGCTAGCAGAGCATGGACTGTAGCACTGCACCTGCAGCTCTGCTAATTCGGTGACAAGCTCCGGGACCTGTCTGATTTGCCTCCATGGACTCGGTCGAAAAGCCTGGCGACGGTGAATCGGAGAATGGGCACTGGTGAGTCCGCATGCATTGCCAGGATTGAAGATCAGCCGACTGCGGACATCAATTGATCCACTTGTGCATTTGGCTCATGTTCCAGTACTTATTGATTTGTATAGTGCTGAAAAGCAAAATTCTTTGACAATATGTCCGGACCTTAGTTGGTCCTGTCATACTTTGCAGGCTTTTGAACGCAGTTTTGGATCCATTAAATGTCATAACGGGCTGTAAACTCAGTGTCAATGCAAAGAAACAGCATTTGATGACTAGACTAGATTGTCTCCTTGGCTTGTGAGGCTGCGGTCCCGGTCGTCTTTGCTGCGATGTGCAGCTGGTGCTGCGCTTTGTGTGGCCTTGCAGACTGCGCTCAGCTTTGTGGCACCCACGGGTGGTGCTGCGAAGGCTTGTCAAAGGCTCATGTTTGCGCAGAAGAGAGTGCAAGCTTAGTTTGACAGGCTCCTCTCAACACGCATGCCGTGGCTTCTCCACCACTGAGGG